CCAAAAACCAACTCAGAATGGGAACATTTACTTTCATGGTTGGTTGGATTTTTCCAGTACAGAAACATTTGCCGTATTCCTCCCTAGAAGAAATATTTTCACCACAAGACTGAACTTATTTTTATCGTGCACCACTGGACTTGATTTGCATTTTTCTCTTCTGTAAGGCCTCTGGAGTTCTTGCAAGCAATAGCAACTGATTAAACTCTACTCCTGATTCCTATCCTTCCCCTTGGCTGTTGGACTATGACTTACAATTGATAAAATGTACTGGACAGGTTATTGTTCTGTACTCTGCTTGGCTACACAGCTTATTTATTATTTGGTACGACTTATCTCAAGAGTACTGTGGAGATGATTTGCAGAAAGYCTGGGATTCACTCATATATCTGGGTCTGGTTCATTGCTYTCATACTTTGTTGTTCTACAGAGACATATGTAGATCCATACCAGTTCTTTATTACTTCTCCTTTCATTTAGGTTCTTTTTTTTTTCTTTAAAAGGAATGAACAAAAAAAAGACAAGTGGTGTTAGATGTGTGTATTTTGGGTGTTCACAGTAAGAGCTTTATTGTTCATAGATAAACAGACAATACTGACAAATATCCTCTTTTTTCAGCCCTTTAGAGGAGAAGGATTTTCAGATTTGGCACAYATGGTTGTCTGTCTTTTAAAAGAAATTTTGCCTTACTACATTATGTATTTGTATTTGTAATGTATTTGTAAGTCCTGTGTGATCATAGTGCAGCTTTGTTATAGAAATCTGTTCTTATGGGTCACAAGTTAATGTAATTTAAGAGAACACGCTGTGAATTAAAGAAAATTTACTGCAGTGATCCTGTTGAAAAATAGAAGCTCACATATCAGGGATGACTTACTTGATGCCAAACCCTAATCTGATATTAAAGTACAATGCAGTCAAAAACCATGCTTTGCAGACAGTGYTTTTCATTTAATGTACTGGATTTCTATTCCAGTTCCTATTAATATCTGCAGAAAYCTACTTCWAAATTCTCAATGTTAAAACATTTARGTGAAAAATAAAGTGCACCTTAAAAACGATACCACAAATTGTATAATAAATGAATCTGAATTTTTAAGCAAATTGCTGCTGTATAGTCACAAATGATAATAACTTYGCTAGCAGGCTGACAAGTCAAAATWGAAACACCTGTTTTGAATTMAGCTAGTTTTSYCCTCTTTGTTGTTAAGCAGCATTCTTTCTCTCCAAAACTTACTGCTCTGGACCCATTAAGAAAAAACAAGAATTTTCAGTGTACCAGCTTTTGCTGCCAGATAGAGAAGAGCGTTTTGAGTCCATGTTAGWACCCTTGGCTGGCCTGACCTCAAACCAGCTGTAACATGGTGGGTTTTGCTAGGGTTTTCTTTTGGGTTTTGAGTTTCTTTAAAGCTGAAACTTTGAAGCTCAAAATCCTCAGAAGGAACAGAAAGAAAAACCTCATGCAAACAAATACCACTGATCTTTACRCAGCTTTGATCTCTTATATATCTATAGTGCCTTTCATCATCAAGAAGCCAAATAAGATTTATAAACTGCCTTCAAAGAGAAATATCTCATCTTCTGTACCACAATGTGCACACCACTGAAAACCAGTCTTCAGAGCACGTGACCTACACCACAATGTGCACACCTAGAGCATGATGCATATTAATTGGCAATAGTTAATTAACAGGGCAATAGTTAGCAAATACAGAGGGGAAACATTATTTGGCAGGATGTGCAATGCCAGAGAAAATACACCTCATATTTAAGTATCTTATTTATCCTAACTGAAATGAGGGTCATCGGGGAAGCCTGATATCATGTTATCTCGGTCCTGGTCACTGCCCCAATGCCAGTTAGCCACTACTTATGATCAGCTGGAGACTGTCCGCATCCCTGGAAGCTGYTGCCCTGTAAGTGATTTCAAGAGGAAAACACAAAAGGTCTCGGCAGTGTCTGTAGCCGTCGGCATGCGGGCGCCCTGCACAGTGGGTGATTGCACTCTCAGCCGCACAGGTTTGTGTAGGGGAGGACGGGCTGGGCAAGCTGCTCCAGCCCTGAGCTGCCTTGGGA